TTATAGATTAGGGTCAGTATATGCAGAATGTATATTAGGGTCAGTATATGCAGAGTATATATTAGGGTCAGTATATGCAAAGTAGAGATTAGGATCAGTATAGATTAGGGTCAGTATATGCAAAGTACAGATTAGGGTCAGTATATACAGAGTAAAGATTAGGTTGAATATTTAATGTTTCTTAGCTTAAGCCTAATGGTAATGTTTTTGTTTTTTTTAAACTTCCTAGCCAAATAAAAATTTGGTTTGGTTTAATAAGAGAAACAAATAAGCAACAAAAGAAAACACCCCAAACGGAAAAGGGAAGGGACTTTCTTGTATTGTCCAGTTCTCTACATCTTCATTTACTCTAGTGGTTATTGAACCAAGCGAACTTAAACTTTGTCTCTGCTTCCGTCCGTTACTAATTGCTTCTTAACACTCAGGACTTGTAGTCTAAAGATCTTAGACAAGTTCGATTTAGAGCGGCGAGATCATGTATATTAATGAGGCGATCACGCATCTGATTGGCTGAATGTTTTTTTTTACTACTCTAGCAACGAGGTTTATAAGATTTTGATCAAATGTGCAATATGGACTTGTATTATCAACATCTCAGAGAAGTTAGCTGATGACAATTCCAGTTTGTACTTTCTAGTCCGGCAAGCTGATGATAGGGAAATGCTCATAAAATTTAGATCTGCTTAATATTTTTTATGTAACAATTGGGCTACTGACAAGAAATGTTACTTGCCTGACAATGATTTAAGTTTTCTGTGCTAGCTGAGTTAGGAAATTGATGTCTCTTAAATGAGTGAGCGCCACCTATATTATTGAGGCGATCTTCCACCTGATTGGTTAAACTTTTTGATAATTCAAAAGCCAAATTTCTGATATGATTTTAAGCACTTAGAATATGGACTTTTCAAGAACCCGAATTAATTAATAAATACGAGATCTGAGCACATTACTGAGGCAGCTTTACATCGGACTGGTTGCGTTTGTTACCATTCTGGAGATCAGATTTCTGATTCTAGTTTAATAAATTTTGAATCTTGGCTTCTGTCGACAAAATTTTGAACAAGTTCGACAATGAGCAATATATATATATATATATATATATATATATATATATATATATATATATATATATATATACATATACATATACATATATATATATATATATATATATATATATATATATATATATATATATATATATATATATATATATATATATATATATATATGAATGTTAATAAGGTGATTTACATCTGATTGGCTGAGCTCGTTACGTCCCTGGATGTTATATCTCTGATCTCACTTTGATCAAACTTGGAATATAGGCTTTTATCATCAAGATGTCAGATGCCTTCGACAGTGAGTTAGATCCTTACATGTTAATGAAATGATCTTCGACCTAATTTAATGAGAGTTGTGTCAATCTGGAGGCCATATTTCTCATCTGATTTTAATCAAACATGGGATATAGCATTATGTAATCAAGAACGCGCTTTAGTTCAAAAGTGACCGAGATCCATGTATATCAATGATGAGATCGTTCATCTGACTGGCTAGACTTGTGACCACACTAGAGACTGTAATACATATTGATTTGAATCATCAAGATCCTAGAAGAATACAGTTTGGAGTGTTGTTGTTGTTGTTGTTGTTGTTGTTGTTGTTGGGCTTAACGCCATTTTTCAGCACACGATAGGCTATTCATGGCGGCCAGTATTAATGGTGGAGGAAGAAACCGGGAAATCACTGGAAAGAACCACCGACCCACGATAAGCTACTGGCAAGCTTTCTCACATATCCACATTCGCCGAATCCTAGATTCGAACCCACGCAGACAGAGGTGAGATGGCAGTGATCCGTAACGGACAGCGCTTTAGACCACTCGGCCACTCGGGGCCCTCCAGTTTGGAGTGAGATTCATGAATATTAATGAGGATATCATATCTCTGATTGGCCGAGCTTCTCAACAATTTAAAGGTTCTATTTCTTGTCAGATTTTAAAAGGAAATGTAGTAAAATATTCAGTGACTTTTATAATGAGTGAGATCTACTTACGATGTGATCATTTTGTGTCTGATTGGTCGAATTTCTTACGACTCATTGACGATATTTCTGATCAGACTTTATTCAACTTTGGTTATTAGGCAAATATCACGATGCTGGATGAATTAAGCATTGTTTCATGCATTAGTATCATTATTGAATATTACATACAGTATTATGGATACTTTGATTTATTCTTCAAAAGCATGGTTTATATTTGACCATTTAAACTGTAATGCTAATTATCCAAGCTAAAGAGTTATTCACAGGTCACAGGCTCAGATGGAATTTTTTATGAAAAGATTTTCCATAAATAACCTTAGATTGTTCTTTACTTTCAGATTAGAAGGGGTAGAATAGACGTCGCTGGATATGACTTAGACACATTTGATCTACCAGTTGGAATTCATCTACCACGATACCACGAGCAAGATCCAAACAAAGAATATAGCCCGCCATCTTATGACTGTATATATCATGTGCCAAAGGAACAATCAGACTCCGAGGACTTTGAACGGTCTTCTTGTTTTAATGTAGATGATACACTTTCCACGGTCGCAAGTGGATATGAGTGCAATTATAGGAGAATAAATCCAAACTGTTATCAAGTGACGGTGGATATAGTGTGGATATAGCAAAATACACTTTTTGCATTAAGTCATTTTACATCTTTCTGACACGGAACGCTTGTGGATGTTAGTCGACATAGTTCTACAATTTTGATATGGTCGATATCATAGAACCAATATTGTAGTGGAATAAATTCAAAAGATAACAAGTGTTCATATATAACACGACGATACCGCTTACACCTCAAAATCTGCAAATATGACAATATTATTGAATGTTACAGATTGATATCAAGAATATATGGGTAAGAATGGTGAATTTGAATAGGGGTTAACGATAATATCATTGATTAGAGTTGTATTTCACCCTACTGGAAGGGCGTTACCATGCCGAGCTTGTGTTTCCCTGTGATAAAACTATTGTTCCGCTTTGGAAAGGATGCTGATTCGTGCACAGAAATTAAGTGTGTTGTTTTCATAGAAATGATGGGGAAACATGTCATTTTTATGAGTAGAGATACATTTCCCTGTCTCGAATTCATGTCAATATGATTTATTATTATAGGCTCATCTTTTTTCTCCGTTAACTTTATAGTGTCAGAATAGTGCAATATTACCTGATATTGAACACCTTAATACTAATTCCCGCGTGCAAAGAAACTATTTTCTGACGTAAAATTTTTTTTATGAATGAACTAAAGCAGATATTTCATGGGCTGCCAAATATCAGCAAATGTTTCATAGACTGACACATTCAAACTGCTTTGGCACATTCCGCGTTTACTTTTTTGATACAATGTTTCAGATTAAACTAGATATAGACGCTATGCAGGGTCATCACAATAAAACACAAGTTATACACATAAACTGTCTTCTTTAGCTGTTAATAGAAATGGCCAAAAATATGCTTACAATTTTACATCCTGAATTTGCTCAAAAAATATTCTTTCGTAGGTCTGTATATCTGAATAAGATGAACCATGTCATGGGTTCTCAATATTGATTACACATTTTGAAATTGTACTGTAGTTTCGAGTATATTCCAAGTGCAGTTACATCCTACTTACTGCACTCAAAATGAAATAAACATTAAATTCCACAGCATCTTTTCGATAATTGCAATGGAAAGGCTTCATAATTTTCCCACATTGTGATCTGAATCATTCAATGACAGAAAAAGAACGAATGCCGATGCCAACACAATTTAAAATGATTAAATTGGCAGACGCCGCCAGAATCCGATGCAAGTCACTTCATGTAGATAAATCCAGACCATACTCAAAAGATTACGTTGAATCGATAAAAATACCAAAACGTATTCATTCCAGATCAAATGGAAAAGTTGTTGCAATGTGTATTCATTAACAATATTACTCCAAATTTCAATTTTAAGTAGAGTAAGCGCCCTTTTCTTTCGAAACTTACGTCTAGCGCGCGACCAACTTCATATGTATCTGGGCGGAGTTATGCACTCGTTAATAATGTTGTATCATGATCCATCAACACTTATGTATTTAGTTTGGAATACGGCATACATTTAGTTACTTTATTTCTTGCAGTGTATTTTTGTTTATATATTTAAGCCTTGTGAAGAATAAGAAATGAGAATATAATAAAAAGTTACCGTATTTGTATGGGAAAATATGAACTCGTTTTGTCGGAAGGATATATTACATTCCCAAGGTCGTGCAGTATAACCATTCGAAAAACTCGTTCATATTTTCCCATACAAATGCAGTAACCTCTAATTGTTACATACAAGAAAAAAACATACCATCAGTAGTTGCAAACCTCAATCGGTAAATTTTAGACTTGATCTTTAAAAACAAACATATGAACTCTATTATTCCCCAATACGTTAAGCGACATAATGTAATTTTAGCCCAGTCTCAAACAATAAATCGTCCAGTTATCATATAAAATCACCCAGTTAGCATATTTAATAACTGAAAATTAACATAGAACAATATTTTTACCTTCCTCACACACACACACACACACACACATACACACACACACACACATATATATATATATATATATATATATATATATATATATATATATATATATATATATATATATATATATATATATATATATATAAAGAGTAAAGTACATCTATCTTAGTGTGTGTGTGTGTATGTGTATGTGTGTGTGTGTATGTAACGTAGCTTTAATAAGTATTCAGTCATATCGCTACGATATCTGCAATGTGGCAGCTTGTAGTGATATTTAGCACAGGGGTATCATGCCGCAGACATGTAGCATGATGTCCCACCCAGTCACATTATCTTGACACCAGGCCGACCAATCCTAACACTAGCATGTTAATACTGAGCCCCAAGAGAGGCATCTGCTAGTACAATATTTAGAGTTCTTTGTTGTAAGTCAGCCGCGGTTCGAAGCCGCGACCTCCCGCATCTGAGGTAGACGTTCTAACCACTATGCCACCTGAACGGTTTTCCATTTTAATAAATACAGGAATAATATGCAGCCTGCTGCTATAAAACTTTTGCCGGAGCACGATGGAAGAATGTGGAAACGGAAAGCAATGCTTAATAGGTCTGTCTTTCCTCGGTGTTTGGAATAATGCCAGACCTAGCAAAATGTGCAGGCTCATTGCTTGTAGATGATCTATAACTAAACAAAAAAATATATATTCAGGAAATGAATACAAACCTATTCAATCAAAGCAAAACAAATTCTACTTACTTTGCACGTGCAATTTCAATGTTTGAGTACAACCGACGTCATGAAACCGCATGCATCAATCAAGCTGGGACTTGCCTGAACATTTAAGATTATTTTTCAGAAGGTTATATGTTTTCGCTGTTCACGATTTTACTTCATTAATTCTACTATAAGTTACATAATGGTAAGTTATTTATCTCTTCAAACTGTATAAACGTTGAGCTTTCACATGCTATATTTTTCAAATACAGTAAATCAACCAACCAACCAACCAATCAATTGATTAATCAATCCAGTCAGTCGCTGTCGATGCATTTGGAATTGTCTTGATTTTGCTTGTACTAGACTTATTTTTGATTCTTTTTCTAAACCATTATCCAAATGTCAGTTTGATGTGCAATTTGTATAGGTTTGTTCTAATATAACATTGGTGCACCTGGTATATATACACGATGTAACAAATATAACAGATCTGAGCTATTCATGTTTGCATTTAAATTTAGATATGCAAAAATGTGCAAAATTGGTTACAGTCTTATTGCGCGTTTATCATGTGTTAGACTATCGCAAGAAACATGATTGAAATCACAATTTTTTGGAGTCTGTGTTTGTGTTTTGGGGTATTTTTTTTTGTAAAGAATTAGTTTCAATTCAGTTGGTTTAGTTTTGGTGTTACAGCACAAGAACTCTTTGCAGATCATATCACGCCGAAGAAAGCAGAATACAGTGCCTTACTCATACTAACACCATGGTTGCGGATCTGGACCAATCCAATGGTAGGAATCGAACACGCATCCATTTGCTCGCGATCCATCGTCTTAACCACTGGTCCACTGTGGCTGCAGTTAGTTTTTAATCAGCTTGTCGTCACTAACTACAACAATAAAAATCCAAACACTCATTCGATATATGCAAAGTTTACCCTTTGTTAGTGTGCTTTTTAGTGTGTATGTGAAAGAGGTATGCGTCACAGATTGGGTAATGTAGGTATGGATGATAATTTCTTTTTTGTTTTTACCTCAGGGCTTTTTGCATTTTCTTGTGTTTGAGTGCAAATAATGTTTAATACATCTGTTCTGTTCAGAATTTTGTGATACATTGCATTTTAAAAATGGGATAATCCAATAAATAGATCAGTAAGAAATTTGCTTCCCTTACTTATTTCTCCACCCATACAGTATATTCTCTCATACTTGCAAATGTCATACTCCTCCTATACAGCTATATCCCTATTTCATTTCTTTTTCATAGACGTATATGAGATAATTCGACTGTATGTGAAAAGGGGGAAATCTTGATTAACTCCTGTTCATCTGTCTATCTCGGACTAGCTCTTAAGCATAATTATACAAATGAAATCTATATAGAAGTGAAGGTTGAATCACGTTATGATGATTATATGCAAATGGATTGACTACAGTTCTTCCTCTTGTACTGTAAACCTTTTTCGGTTTACAACATTAGCATGTCAGCTTCAGTAGATGTAAAATGAAGAAATTTTCCTCAGTATGGGCACCTTGGTTGACTCACCGAGATTCATCTTTCCTGCGGCACGTGGCAGGCTAAATGAATAATCTGGGTGTGTTAGGCTGGCCTACTCCGACCTCCAGCCCAAAACGAGGCCGGCTAAAGACGATGGAAAAACTAATGATTTAAAGCAATTTGCTGCCATTAGTAAACAGTGAGAAAAATATTTAAAGAAATCTGCTGACGGTAGGATACGATCAATTGTCGTTACAGTTTTATGCATTTAAAATATGCCAAGACATGCTGAAACAGGTGCGCTTTCCTGAAACTAAGGAGCACAGAGTTGTGCGAAAATGGTGGATATATGTGGCACAAAGCATGCGAGGGTGACAAATAAAGTCATGCTGGAAGTGCGATGTGCGTGTTCGAGCTGATCATGGTAGTGGTTCACGTTATTCCTCGAGAACAACACCTCCACTTGGAGACTCACAAACCAAAATACGATCTGACGGCACCTGCCCGGTAATGTCAGCCTGTCAGTCAGGGTGTGCACCTTGAGCGACCACATAAGTATTGCGGCACGGCTCTGTCGGTCTTCCATGTTCCGCGCGAGTTCATCTTAGGACAGACATTGCTCTTCCAAATTTCACCGGTAGAATCACAGGTGCTGCAGACGTCCATCGAGCGATTGTTTCTGGTAGCACAGACGTAGTATGTACCATCCCAAGATGGTGTGGTATTCAAGAACACTCTTCATTGCTTAGGTTGTCAGGGAAAATTTAGTGCTACTTAGCTCATGCGCTCTTTGATATACGGGGAAGGATTATTTATTGAAAGTAGAATAGTCGGTTAGGCCCCTCGGTCGGGTCTCACAGGTCTCGAACAAGTGTTGGGGGCTTTATTCACAATCAGTGCTGATATTCTGGCATCGTAGTCTTCAGCTAGATAGAGCGCAGGGGCTGCACGTTTTGCTTAGTGCCGGTCCAACTTTTCTGTTTAACACGTCATGTCGAACTAGTGTGGGAGCAGGCTGATCAGACTGATCCAATACGACCTTTTTATGGTTTACTGGCAGCGGTTGTTGTGTTTGCGTTTCCTCCATGTTTACACTGTTCATACAGGGTCAGATTATCGCATGATCATGGATATTAGTATCCAGTATGAAGTTGTCGGCTGACATAATAATTTCGTTGCTACCCCTCCACCCCTGCGATTCTAAAAAGGAAGATCCATATCGCTAGGTATCTTGAAAGGCTAAGGCTACTTTAAAAAAAATATCTAGCTTGCTCATCGTATAATGGATTGCTAATTGGTACTTTTGTATTGAGCTTTCATGGTTGCCACCTTCAGATTTAGCGATCGAAGGGAAAAACGGAGTATTGGAGTGGCCTTACAAATAGTGTATGACATTAATAAGATAATGAAAAAGAAAACACCGATGAAATGGTATCTGCTCCTCTGTGGGTTTACACGTATACATTTAGACTGGGGTCGAAGGATGATGAAAGCCGATAAACACTGACCACTGGAACCAATTAGAGTACCCTAAGGAATACTACGAGCATATAGAGTTAATTATGCTTCCTCTGTTTCAACATTGACAAAAAGAATGGCCTTCGGGGAGTCTTAGGTACAATTGCGACATTGTATTTGTGAAAGCGTTCTCCTCAATGACGTTTCCGTCAAGGTATGTCAAGTCCTCTATCACTCGCTTCTAGAGCAATAATGTGGTTATATTTGCTCTACCGCATCGCAGTAGGTAGCGAGAAAGACAAACTATTTCTGAAACCCCTGACAGAAGGCTTGGTATATATAATTCTTGGCGATCCTCCTGGAATGCGTGTAAAAAACTATCATTTCCAGATTTAAAGATATTAGGAAAACTAGTATTTTCTTTCCCATCACCGACATGTTGCCAGTAAACTAGGTTGGAAGTACATGTCCGCACGGATGCTCAAGACCTTTCACATTCAGGCCAATTAAACTTTCATATCACGCTACTTATCGAGGAATTATAATGTGGTTATGTCTACGTTCCAAACCCCACAAAACGTTTCGCTTGATAAAGATCTGCAAAGCGGAAACCTTTCTAAGAAAAGGGGCTGAACTTCTGCGTACTATTTGCAAAAACTACAACTGCAATATACGCTGTTGATGATGTTGAGACCACGCTTGAGACCCGGTGTATCGGGGATAGGAATATTGTCAACAATTTTGTTGACTCCTCAGAGCATTGCTTTAAGATTCAGTCTGGTTTCTTTTGGGTGGAAATTTTTATCATCTGGCAGCCATTCGTGAAACTAAAAAGCAAGATGAAATCTGCGTCTTGGCCTAAAGAAAGCTTAACATAGTCGCAGACCACGTATCTAGGAGCTACGCGAAAATGCCATCTCCAGAGAAGTGTTCAAACTAATCACAGACGAAGTCAAACAAATACACAGCCATCAAGAAAGAAATACCGCCTAACGCGCACAAAGTAAACGCTTCAGTTACAAAACCTGAGGTCAAAACTTGCGATAGATCCAAAGCTCGCTTGTCTCTCGTGAAAATGTTTGCAAGGGGATTCATTATAAAGCTGAGTAATGTCATTCCAACATGCTGAGCTTTCTAACTCAAGGGTCATTCCCAGCGCACATCCAAGATACGATAAGGTTGTCCCAAAACAATGCCGCGCCGCTGTCGATGCCTTTACTTCGAGTTTCAGGAGCAAACAAACAAAACTAAAATAAAATATCCACTCTTAAGGAACGTCAAAACAAACATTTGTATTTTTTGTTACTTGAATGTTTAGTAAATTTAAAAGAATGGTAGTTTATTCACATATCAGCTCCCTTATCCGATTTATTATTTAAATCCTCAGTCAAAAGTCGTGAACTAGCAATGCCATTTTCAATCAACATCGCTGACCTGCTTTGATAATAAATTCTAGAGCCTAACCAAAAGCAAAACCGCCACATTTTGAGTCATCAAAGGCACAAAGACAACATCAAAAGGAATGTATCAGGAGAACACACGAACATGTATACAACAATATTCCTAAAACGATATGAGAGAGAGAGAGAGAGAGAGAGAGAGAGAGAGAGAGAGAGAGAGAGAGAGAGAGAGAGAGAGAGAGAGAGAGAGAGAGTACTTTTTGATGATTATACGTTAATGAGCTAAATGATGTTTTGCACTGTTTTGTCCCATGTACAGCCCATATTGACTTATAATTATTCAACGAGGTAGATTTGTCTTGCTAATGACCATATTTCGCACCATTAGAATTACGTTTAGTGGCAAAATCGCAGCAGTATGTCGTT